AGAGAGAGAGAGAGAGAGAGAGAGAGAGAGAGAGAGAGAGAGAGAGAGAGAGAGAGAAAAGAGATAACAAAAGGTCCCCTTCACATCAATTTGAGGGCCCCTGCAGGTACCTCGAATGACTCCTATGTTACATGTGGAGTCATCGAGGACGCCTGCTTCAATTGAGAGGATGGTCTAGTTATCTGTGGCAGATGTAGGGCAGACCACCAATATATGCTTTGGATTCGAGTTCAAGGCTGTAGCTCGGCAGTTATGGGTCACCAATTCAGCTAGGGCCTGTTCGTGTCTCCACGTGATTCTCAGGGCCTCCCTCCACCACTCACCAAATGTATACAATATTAGTAGAACGAATCTTCTGCAATGAAAATGAACAGAAGCGAGATGAAAATATTCAGATTGCACAATCACATTGAAAGCCAGTTCGTATCACAGTGTTCAGAAAGCAGGATTGCACCAATATGACACCAATGGAGAATCGTAGTACTGAAAACCAATGTCAATGAGAGCTTGCTCTGGCCACCACCAACATATGTATCCAGTCCCTATCTCCCTACTTGGTGCTCGGCGCCCAGCCTACTCCCTACACAGCTACTACTAATCTACTAATTGACAATGCAGCTGTTGATGTCAGCAGCCTCCAGAGAACTTGAAGATGTCGGCCATGCAGACCATCGCCAATACCAGGTATGTGCCCTCACATCATCATCATCATCATCCTTCTCTCTCTCCCTCGTCTTCCCACATCTTCCCGTTGTACACCTGAAGACCACCCCTGCACCTCACTGTACGCCAGCTATGGAGGCTGGGCTATGGCGCTGCCCTCAGCAGCGCCCTGCTCCCTGCACGACCGCACGTGCTAGCACCTCGCCTCTCAGCGCTAGCAGCAGCCCAAGAGCTTCAGCTCCAGCAGCGCTGCCGCCAGCATGCGAGTGCCTGAATGCCTGGCCAGGCAGCAAGCTCTTTCCTATATGGAAAGCGCCTGCCTCATTCGGCAGCCTGGCTGGACTGGCCTGGGCCCAGAAGCTTCTGGTAGGCCCCAGGATGCTGCGCCTCTCTTGCAGCTACTGGGCCTCATTCAGTTGGGCCTCCCAACTGTCTGTGTATGAGGCTTCCATTCTCGTCCAGGGCCTGCATCATTTCGGAAAGGCCTGGAAGGCCATTGTAGGGCTCGCTGCTTGGCCTGTGTTTTCCTCAACCAACTGGCGCGACGAAACTGCCTGGACCCCAAATACAAAATTGACAGTCGAGGGCCTCTCGTAATTTGTTAGGCCCGCCTTCACTTAGGGCGGGCACAGACGCAACAGGGGGCCCTCAGGCCTGCCGAGGACCCAGATCCTCGCACTTCTGCTAAAACATGGAACCATACACCGCCATATGCTATGTCTTTTGTGCATGTGGTGACTAGTGGAGCAGGCCCCACTGTACGTATTCATAAGAAACCAAAAACAAAAAAACGAGAGCTCCCTCCACCACTCACCAAATGTATACAATAATAATATTAGTAGAATGAATCTTCTGCTAAAACATGGGACCATACACCACCATATGCTATTTCTTTTGTGCATGTGGTGAGTAGTGGAGCAGGCCCAACTGTACGTATTCATAAGAAAACAAAAACAAAAAACCAAGAGAGCTACGGGCATCTTCATCCTAACCCGAAACTGCCGACATGCAGACCTGAACGCCAACCTTCAGAATATATTCGTGGTCGGCCAGACATGAAAATGCAACCTGTGACTTCTGCAAAGTTTGTGGGACAGGTCGTTACTAGGCGACTACCCCCTTCTTGTGAACTTACCCCACCACTGCGTGGGATTTGAAAAGGGACGGGGAAGGCCAGTTTCCATACCCCGCCTAAGAGAAAAATTGGAATGAGCCCTATTTTATGCTTTGCCTTTTTGAAACTTCTGGGGGTAGGGCCTGCGGAAATTGAAATTCGGCAGCCCTTGCCCGAAAAAAAGTTCAGGCCGAGGGTGTGGCCGGTTTGCGAGCTCGCGCGGTGCGTTTAACATTTTTGGCGAGTTGGGGACCCTAAGGAATGACAGAACCCCTACTTTTTTTTTTTTTTTTGGACCTAATTTTTACAGTGCGGTGCGCTTCGGTGCGCTGCGCGTGGTGCGCAAATCCGCGCACCGAGGTGCGCCGCAACTATGGATTCAAGGCGACACAGGAAACAGAAGATGCAGCAGTGCTTTGCATTCCAAACCCTTGTTAACTTTCTCCGCTCACGGTTTTTTATCAGAAGTAAAGTTTGGAGAGGAATCAAAACACATTTACGTAACCCTTCTACTGTTGGCAGCACCGTGATTAAAGTGTTGGATGACTTCTTACTAATTGTTAGCTTAGTGGTGCAGCAGCATGCACTTTGATCTAAACAGGTGGCAAACTTGTTGGCTCTACCGTCTTCCCCCGAATAGCACGTACGGTCATTGCAGCCGTATTTGGCTCACCTTTTAGTCCAGACGCAGCAGAAATGACCATATGTTCTATTCGTGGGAAAAAGGTCGTCTCTCCAGTGTGTACTTGAAAGCATGCAACGGTAACAATAAGCTACCAACTCATCCTAAACGTTTGTCCTACTTTTGCAGTCTGGTAGGTAGCAAGCAGAGTAAGGCGCCTTTGTATCTTGTTCCCAAGGTTATTCATTCAGTGTTCCCGCTAGCATGGATGCAATGAGACCCGGCGGTCCATCATTCTTTCCTAGATGTCGAGCACTGTTCGCTTTCAAGACACACCTTCAGCCCTCGCTTCTGAAACAATTTTCACTGAGAAAGTAACTCACAATAAAAGTGGTATTATTATTCAAAGTATTTGGGCTAAAAAGCTAGGCTGTTTTTCTGGGCGCCCCGGCACCGAACTTGTGCCCGGATACACGCCCGGGTGCCCGGCCGGGCATGACCCCCGGGCAGGAGGCTGCTCTTGCCAATGCCAAAACGTGCCAGACCCTGGCATTGAAGTTCAAACAATGGTATGTGCTAAGACCCTGGTCTGGTGCCTAAGTTTCAGGGCAGGTCGACTTTACGAGGGCCTGAAAATGGCCCTCGTTTTCACGCTTTTAGGCTGAAACGACACAGGGCCTGTAGGCCCTCGTTTTCAGGCTTTTAGGCTGAAACGACACAGGGCCTGTAGGCCCTCGTTTTCAGGCTNGTTTTCAGGCTTTTAGGCTGAAACGACACAGGGCCTGTAGGCCCTCGTTTTCAGGCTTTTAGGCTGAAACGACACAGGGCCTGTAGGGCCCTGAATTTCCGTCTGGTCGGGCCTTGCAGGCCCGTGTGGCTGTGCAGTATGCCACAGAGGCTCACGCATCCACTCAACCAACTGGCGTGCTGCAAGAGCCTGAATACCCACATACAAAAAATGTCGAATTTTGGCCTCTGATGAATATTCAGGCCCGCCTTCACTTAGGGCGGGCACTCGGCTTGCTGGAAGCCTCTGCCCAGAACATGTGTATGTCTGATAGGGGCCCCGTGAGGGCTCGTTACTCGCACTAAAATGACAATGATATACAATTTCATTTCGTTTGCAATTTTCTCTCCCAATTTTTCTTTGCTGTTGCCAAATGCATATGCGTGAAACGAAAAAAGGTCGCTTCTTCTTAATGTGTCGCACTCCCATCCTAGAACACAGTGAATCCCTTCGAAAATGACTCCGACAACCTATCCTGTCCTGCAACTATTATTAAGAAGTAATAAGAACTTTTATGCGCACATTCTGGACTCGATAGAAATGTCATGGTTCTGAAGGAAATGATATGGGGATGAGTAAATTTTAACTTTTCCAGTTTAAATAAATTACTCATCCCCGCATCTGGACATGATACGGGGATGAGTAAATTTTAACTTCCGTAAGTTCTCCGAGTTCCCTGTAAAGTTCTGAAAAGCATCTGAAGACAGCTGCACACTCCTCTTTTCCTCACACTGTCTGCTCTTTTCTGAAATTTATGTGATAGCCTCGTTTTTACACATGGTCTGCTCTTTTCTGAAATTAATGTGATAGTTCATCAGACTCTAGTAGAGTCTTAGACCTCAAGATTCAATGACATGTGATAGTACAGACTACACAGCTCATTCTCGAACAAGTCAGTTCCTCTCATGGCTACTAAGGGGTAGAAGGCGAACCTCGTACGACTCCTTTGACTTCTGAAGATTCTTCGTCAACAAGTAAAAACCGCCGAGGTTATGGAGAGCCAGACCTACACTGCAGAGCAACAGCAGAGCACAACAGAGAACAGAAGAAAGAAGAATGTTTGGCAAAATCAAAGCGGGCTTTAGCGGGGGATTAGATGGCAGTGAGCGAAACAGGAGTGCTTGCCTACACCATGCATGTACAACCAGGAAAACGATGTTCTTCCTTGCAAATAAATCTGAAGGATGTGCGCATAGCTGGAGGACATGAAAGAGGAGGAAATAACACCCGTTCACAACAGGAGGCACCAAGGCACTCACATGAAAAGAGGAGGAAAAACAAGGTATCCAAACGTCACTTTACCTTTCACAACGGCATATCAGGTATGCGGGAGGGAGGGAGAAGAGCAGAGGACACACAGAGCGAGTGAGCGAGCGAGCGCGCGTGCGCGCACGCGCGCGCGCGCGCGCGCGCGCGAGAGAGAGAGAGAGAGAGAGAGAGAGAGAGAGAGAGAGAGGCATGCATAACATATATTGCCCCCGTATTCCAGTAATGCACACCCAGCTGTGTGTCTAGCAAACATCAATATTGGTGTTTATTTTAAGGTATTCCTAGAGTGTACGTAAGGCTTGAGGTAATGATATGGGGGATCATGCGCCCACTCGCCTCTGATTGTCTTTGCCCATAGCTGCCTCCAACCTTGCCACGGCCTCCAGGTAGAGAGGTTCTGCCCGCAGATAGTCCCTCCTCACCCTGTAGATTTCAGCCTGCTCATCAACATCATTTTCGTCACTATTGTCATTATCAAGGATAAAACACTACACTTGTTCCTTGGCATATATGTAGCGCAATTTCCTTCACGGTCGAACACCGTCTAAAGAAATCCTAGCAAGAGTCCCCCTTTCTGTTAAATCACCTCCCAGGACATCACCCAGCTATCCACGGCATCATACCAGTTAACATGGGACTGCAGTCAGGGGTTGGCCTTAAAGGGGGCCGGCGACCCCAGTGAGGGGGGAACAAAATTTAGAGCGTCCCCAGTTTGACCTATTTTGTTTTTTTTTTAATTTTTTTAAAGTTTTTTTGTTTCTTCAACTCTATACTAGTCTATAGCCCTTTTGGCCACTTGCACGCCCCCACTTTGACTATTTCTCTCGTCTCCTGCAGCAGCAGAAAAAAAGGAAGAGAAATGATGGATGTACTATGTAAGATGTGTGCTGCAGAACGGAAAAACATAACAGCAATTCCACAAAAAAAAAAAAATTGGCGCAAACACGATGCATATGGCTGCCACCACCAGGCCTGACCCCACAACAGTCCGGAGGTTTAGGGGCGAGAAAAATCGACCATCGGGGCTGGCGATTTACGCCATTCATCGTAAGACTCGCCACAAAAGGTCCGAGACTTGCTTTGTGCACAAAACAAGATGCTGAACACATCACAGCTCGCCCCACTCCAAGAAAAAAAGCAAGTCTCATCTCCTGATCCGAGCCTCGTGTGTGCCTCACAAACCACATTTAAACCACAGGTTGACTGCGGTTTGGCTGTGGCACACAAGAGATTCCAATGAGCAGAAGGTGCATGTAACACTCTACGGTGCAGACTGACAAGAAGGGGAGCTGTCTCTTATACACATCTAGATGTGTATAAGAGACGGGGGGAGGGAACTGCAGGGTGGAATGACGGTAGCGATCCAATCACAGGGGTTATGCACAGGGCCGACGCAGCAAGAATGAGAAAGTAAACGACGAGACTAGACTGGAACAACAACGGGAGCTACAACAGCAGCGTACCAACTCCAAAGCACGTGCACTTGGCCTTCGGCTAAATGGTAAAAACATGCGCAACTCTTGATAAGCAGATTGTGCATTCAAACTTCAAACGCACAACAAATCTGAAAAAACATCACAGGCATCAATGACAAAGTCTTTGACAGGCGGAAGGGCGGGGGGAGATGAAGAGGCAGACATACAACCGGGGCTTCCCTTCAGGCATATGCACAGCAGGATTTTCCGGGATGCATTTGATGGATTGTGATGAAAAAAACTGAAATTTGATCGCAATTACGCACAAATTTAGTTGAAAAACGTTATGGCATATTTCGGGCCCTTTCCTTATCCCTACATATATAACTATCGCTAATTTTCGGCCTGTGACAAGCAGACAATCGGGGCCCTGCGATTTTAACTCCGCGACGGTCCCAATCGTCTGCTGATCGTTTGCTCTTAGAAGTTGAACCGTAGTGGGCGGCTCCGCGCCAGGGCCTGTACCAGGCCCACGTGCCAGCACCGGTACCAAAGTGTGTTACCGGCCATACCGCACGCGGTACCGGGGTTCTGCGTGACGCGCTACCTGTCCAGCGCCGCTACAATGTATAGAAACTACTTTCTGGGGCACGCGCACAGCCGACTTGACGGCAGGTGTACTGGACGGCGAGTTAGAGTCTAAGCCTGTTCGACACTCCTCGACTGAGCTAATCTACGCTATTATGTGCTACTCTAGAGTTGACACCTGTTTTCAACACTCAAGCTACTCGACTGAGCTACTCTTCGCTACTCTGTGCTACTCTAGAGTCTACGCCGGAGCTACTCTAGAGTCAACGCCGGCCCTACTCTAGAGTGGATGCCTGTTTTCAACACTCAAGCTACTTGACTGACTTCTATGCTGTACGTTGGACACATGCGCACTCGCACATGCACACACGCACGCACGCACACATGCACACACGGATGCACACACACACTCACGCACGCACAGACACACACACACACACACACACACACACACACACACACACACACACACACACACACACAAACGTGGTGAGTCCTTGACCATCAGTACAGTTCATCTCGAGAGGACTGTGGGGGTTCAACCTCCTCATGAGTCGGTGGAAGTCAGACGAAACAGTCTGGCTGAGTCATTTTGTGAGTTCTGTATAGCGAACATACACCCACACATACTCAGACTCACCCACACAAAACACCCACACCCACCCACCCACCCACACACACACACACACACACACACACATGAGGCTTGAGCTGTGCAGCGTCAAGGCTTTTGAACGTCCGCACCTTGACGACTGACAGTGAGTTTGTTATTCGTGTTTGTTGCTTTCGTTTTTTGTGGTCTTGGAACTATGAGTGAGAGAGAGAATGTGTGTGTTTGTGTGTGTGTGTGCGTGTGTGTGTGTGTGTGTGTGTGTGTGTGTGTGTGTG